CACAGGGGACACGGCCCGGCACAGGGGACACGGCCCGGCACAGGGGACACGGCCGGGCACAGGGGACACGGCCCGGCACAGGGGACACGGCCCGGCACAGGGGACACACACGGGACACGGGTCCCTTCCACCACGCGCGGGTGGCGGAGCGCACCCAGAACCACACCAGATGGGCCGGCCGATGTTTGTGGTCTCTTTTGTTTGAGCAGGACGAGCCTCACAAAGTCACTTCCCGTCTTTGGCCATGAAAGCCTTGAGGCGCGTTCCTTCGGGGTGGTTACGGGTCGCAGCGCTGTGGATTCCTCGCTGCAGTTTCACTGCAGTGACTGACCCAGCAAAGTTGTGCAGACACGCACAGAGTTCAGAGTACAAACCCACCGTGTTCAGCTCTTGCACAGCACCGGCACCATAGAGACAACTGTATGCAAACACTGGTGTGAGGGAAATGGATGTCTTGATTACTACAAAGGTTTTAGAATTTTACTGTGGCATTAGATGGCTCAGCCTGCCTCATCATCTGAGAACAATCTGATAACAGCATCTTCTTGACAACTAAATTGCAAACTCTTTTGGACAGAGACTTTGCTTTTAACTGTGGTCAGAGCCTGTCACAGTTGTGGCCTATGCTTGGCTAGGGAACAGTCACTAAGGGAATACAAAAGTATGAAGAACTATAATTAACTGCTTGGAAAAAAAAATAAATCAGGATAGTGATAAATTCATACTAGTTCTAAAAATTCCATATTTATAAAATCCAGATATTTTACTCTCTGAATGCTGAGTTTTTTTGAGAGGTTACAAGATCCTCTGCTGTTAATTTTACAGCCCAGCCTTGGACCAGATCAAATGGTGATAGACCTCACGGACCCCAACCGGCCCCGGTTCACTTTACAAGAGCTCCGAGATGTATTGCAGGAGAGGAACCAGCTGAAAGCTCAGCTTCTGGTGGTGCAAGAGGAGTTACAGTGCTATAAAAGGTAAAGCTTGAAGTCAGCAGAGAACAAACACTACTAATAACAAGTGCTTCATGTCTGGGAAGCTTCTCAGGTGAGAGTCTTGAAGGTTTGGGCCCCTAGGTCAAGATAGGCACTGTCCAGGCATGTAAGTGACCAAAGAAAAAATGGGAGAGCAATGAAGTCTCTATGCAACATGATTTAAAAACCAAACTCCCTTTTCCTCTGCACGGTTCTCAGCCTGTTCCCATAAATGTCCCACTCTCAGCCTACGCACAGTTAACTCCCACTCCACATCCAGGCTGGCTTCTCGTGCACAGGAATTCATCTGTGCAGTCACAGCAGTTGCACACACACTGTCTAAAGCCACACTACATACCAAAGAGCACAGGGGGTTTCCAGCTCAGCTTTAGTCAAAGTTTCCTTCCTCCTGCAGCACGATGCTGGTTGCTCTCCACTCCTTCGCTCCCACGGGGGTATGGCACTGATCTAGAAACAGAATATTGAGCTCTTTCATCGTTCATGATCAACTGTGGGGTTTTTAAGACTTCCAACAGAGGCCCTTGAACTGTGCAAAGAGTTGACTTCAGAGAAGGGTTTGGTTTTTGTTCTAGGGAGAGTCAGTGTGAGTCAAAGGGTGGGATGTGGGAAGGGTCTTGATCTTGGTGCTACAAATTAATTCACCCCAACTTCTGCACCCTCTCATCAGGCTGGATTATAAACTCTTTGGGTCAAGAAATTCCTTCTTAATCTAGAGACAAAATATCTGAGCACATTAGATTCCAGTTGGGATATCTCAGCAGCACCCTCCTGGATACAGGGAACCTGCCCTTTGCCTTGTCTGTAACAGGCAGGTTAAGCCAAGAAGTTACACTTAAATCCAAGAATTTACAAACTGCTCCAGAACACTTCCCCAGCTCAGCTGGATGCTTTGCTGAGCAGCAGTGGAATGGCCTCTTGCTTTGATTTCCAGCTGTTACACAGTTTAGTACAGGCCAAGTTAAAAATGTAACAGTAGGAATAGTTTCAGATTTTTAATGATTTGAGTCACAGTGCTGCGCAACAAGAGCAGGGCAGGGCTGCTTTCCAGGTCCAGTAATTTGTGAGGTTATCTCCTCATACAGTGTTACAGCTTAAGCCAAAACCCATTTTCCCTCTAAACAGTCACATAAAATCCTAATTGTAATTGTAGTAAAGAGTAATTATGCAGTAGAGGATAAATATATGTTCTAAAATGCCTTGTACACATTGGAAATAAGCACTGTATAAGCACAAGGTAACAAACATCTCAGAGACTGGCTCCAAGTGACTGGTGGTGTTTGGGGGCTGCATTTTTCATCATGGTTTCTGCATAGAAATTACCATGTGAATGTTGAAACTCTGCAGTGTCACCCAACAGCTCTTTGTGTCATTTGTCCAAGAGGAGAGTCTGCCTCAGAATTACCCCGTGATGGTGTCACACCAGTTTTTAAGTGCTCTGTGTTTTTATTTCTGAATCCAGTTGAGTGTTGCTTGGCTACTCTTCGCCTGCAGCTACTGCAGTCACAGGCTTTGATCCACTGAGCTCTCCAAAGGACTGAGGTCAGCTCAGGACACGCTGTGAAAACACTGAGTGTGCAGGCTGGGAAAATCTAACCCCTTTCCAGGCAGGGAAAACACCCTTTGGTCAAACTGAAACTGCTGCCTGGAGTAGGCGGTTATAACTTCTGGAGTGTAGAAACACTGAAGTAGGATGGCAAAATCTACAGCTGAGGCAAAGCCTTTCTTCTCTCCTCTGTAGGGTGGAAAGAGGAACGGGCACCTGCCTTGCAGGGGAGTTGGGAATCTCCCATCTGTTCCCAGGCCTGGTGTGAGCCTGGGTGCCCGCGCTGGAGGTACCACACATCCACCCCTGCAGAAGTTCACCATTTGTGTCCACACCCTCCTTTTTATCCTTGGATTTTTGCACAAATCCAAGTGTGACTACACTTCCCTTTCACCCTCATTATGATTTGCCATTTTTTCTCTGAGAAGTCAGTTTGTTACTTTTTTAGTGTTCTCATTAAAGCATAACCCTGGCACCATTACACTGCTGTATTTAGGGATAATAATTCATTATTTTCAGTTCACTACAAGGAAGAGAGGCTGGGCTGCCATCCCTGTCCTATGAACATTCATTCACCCATGTCCCAGCTGCCCTGTGAGTGGTCTAACTGTCACATTCTGCACACACCCACAAAAAAAAATAAACAAAACCATTTCCTTTGCCAGTGGGATCATTTCACAGAAAAGGGACCAAACTGAAGAACTGGAAAAAGAAGTCAGTGGCAGAAGTGCTGGCACCAGCAAGGACAATGAAGAGAAGACAATCATCAAACGTCTGTAAGTTTGTCTGCAGATTTTGGGGCAGAATTTGTAAGAATATGACCCACTGTGTGCAGTGAAGCCAGGGATGGATGCTGAACTTTAGCCTAGTTGGCTGGGTATTGTTTTCTGCTCTCCATGTAAAGTTAAAAACCAGATAAAGCAATCTCTTCCTGGGGAAAAAGCACTGCTCAGGAAAGCAACCTCCACCCAGGCAAGCAGGGAGTCACTTTTTTTCCCTAGGAAAAACAAGCATTCCTGAGCAAAATGATTCAATACTTTCCTCCCCTGCCAGCCCCTCAGGGCTGTGCTGTGGGAGCACCCTGGCTGGCCTCAGGCTTTGTTTACATTGTACACAAAACCCACAGCTCAGGGTCTGTCCCTAAAGTCTCCCAAAATAGCACATTGACAGGGCCAGCCCCCTGCCTGTTCCTTGTTTCCCAGTTGTACATTATTGTTTCCTTTCTGCTATTGATTTTTTCCCTTTTATTTTAGGTTTTCTTTTAAACATGGAAAATGAGCATCCTAAAGGACTTCACTGCTGCTGGTGAGAATGGCACTGATGAGCCTCAGAGGCGTTGGGAAAGACAATGATTGGAAGCAGCAGCATCACTCCTGCTGTAGAGAATGAGCAATCTCATTAACATCATGTTGTATAATATTCTTTCAGAATAGATTTTACTCTGCTTTTTCAGAAACTGTTTCAGAAACAATTTTTGTATTTCGTACTGTCAGACGTTACCCACATGTAGAAAATAAAATGTTTATACAAAGCTGGGGTTTATTCTTATTAAGAGAGCCTGTGATGATCTGTACTACAGCATACTGACCCTGTCCAGCTATCAAAACATTCAACACAAATGATTTCAGAAGATGAAGATAAGAGAGACATACCATTCACAAGTGGTTGGTTGGAGGTGAGATGAACGGTGGAGAAAAGCACAGCAAAGGAAGAAAAGCAATTTGGCTCTGCCCACATGAAGGACTGAGGTGCAGGCAGTGCTCAGACTGGAACAGATGCGCCAAACATTTAATTTTTGACTGCTGAAAGTCTCCTGTGGTAGGTAGCTGTTTTGCATAAGCTCTGTTCTTTCAATCACCTGCCACAAGCTGTGTATTGGCCCCAGTAATGAGATTTAGCACCAGTGGAAGCATATAGGGCAAACAGAGGAGTGGGAAAAGAAGCTTGAAAGACACCAATTAGGTTCTCTATTTAGAAAGGTAGAATATCCAGAGCAGAAAAGTCTGAAGAGACATAAAAGAAGCAGTGACAGGTATCAAACTGTGATCTTACTCTCTTCAGAAATAAAAGCAGGCTCTGAAGTCTTTTGATTCCCTCTCCTACACTGGCAGCATGAAAAATATAGGACACTTCACACATCTGCTCAGCTGCACAATGTGAATGTGGCTCAGCAGAAGGCAGAGCTGCAACCTCTCTTCTGAGGTCAGGAACAACTGTCTGTTAGCAAGGCCACACCACAGATGGCTGACCTGAGCCAACTGGCTGAGCTAGGGCACAGAACCACTGGAATCCTATTGCCATCTTCAAAATATCAATAAGCCTTGGCCATGCCCTCATTGTGTATTTTCTAGAGCATGGCAGCAGGGAAGGCAGTTACTGCATTGCTTGAGCAGAGGCTTTGTGCACAGAAAAATTAAACAAAGAAACAAACAATCAGCGACAGCCAGGATGTGCCTCTGAGCTCAAGAGAGATGCTTACATGTGACCTGAATTCCATCCTCTTCCATGGTTTATCCAGGGATGGATTTTCCAATCTCCTTTAAAAAAAAGCAGTTTAGCTCCCAACCCAAGGGTATCTTTCCCTGACACCTTGTTAGGAGATGAAGCCTTCCTGTGAGGCACAGAGGAAGAAAAAACATCCAAATGACACATTCCTGTGAGAATTACATTGAGATTGATCTATAGATCTCTATAGGTGTTCCTATAAAAGTAAAGGATACATATGCAGTGCAACATGAGCTTTATTTCCATCCTCCAACGCAGTGCTACTCAATTACCAGTCAAGCTTTCAGAGAAGACATTTTCTTTTTATGTAAAACAGGGAGATCTTTCCCCTTCCTTGTTTACAAAAGTGATGCTGAAGTACAGAGGTTTTAAGCTATTCAACCTGATAGAGAACAAGTAAATGTTTAAATAAAATAAACCAAAAAAATTAATTCCAATTTTGACTTAAGGGAAGTGCTCTAGTTTAACAGGACATGTACACATTACTGAGGTCTCTGTTACTGAGACCAGAAAAAAATCTGTGCCAACTCAGACAAGTTGACCAACAAGGCTTACCTGAAACTCAGTACATGTAACAGGTCTCCAGTTAATTCTTCAGAAATGGGAAAATACCCAGGCTTGCTCTGACGAGTTTGCCTTGTGTGAAGCAGTATATAATATAAAGCATTTAATAGCTAATGATTTTCACAGCTTTCTTTCAAAATGCTCATGAACTGCAATGGAGACAGGTAGTATAGCAGCCGTTTCATCAATAATAAATATATTCTTTATTTTACAGAGACATTGTCTTCAAGTTTTTAATTTAAAAAATACATCACTAAGCCACCTCTCTTGCTGCTGGAGCACACAACCAGGATGTTGTTGCTATCTGACCTATCACATAGGCAAGCATAAGATTGTCTAGAGGGCATTCAGCTGGAACAGCAGCAGCCTTCAAGACATGAGGAATAGAAGACATTAACAGAGCCACAGATCCCTTGCTGACATCTTCCAGCAGCAAGCGTGGCTGATGGCTCACAGCCATTTTCATCTACACACATGCCAAGCCTGCCTTGGCAAAAATTCCAACTGGTAAGAATTCATCTTTAACATAAAGGACCTGCATTGTATTGCCTGCCTATATCCCAGATTTGGCTCTCCAACAATAACGTTCCAAACATCCATGAGATGCCAAGCGCTCGACTCCCCTGTGAGACAGTGGGACCAGACCGTGCTGGACAGACCTACAGGACCAGGCAATAAGGAATCTACTTTCTTCACTGCATGAACTCCATCACTACAGTTTGAAGCTGCATATGAAGATGACTCCTATTTTCGGAACCACTATGCTCTACTTCAAGCATTCACAGTAAATAAATAGCTTCTGATGTGGCTAATTAGCATAGGAAGGTAATATAAAAATTTTTGGAGAGAGCTTTTACTTCTTTAAAATCCTCTGGGAGACACCTCCAAGAATCAGCCATCAATTATAAAAAAGGTACCTTCTCAAAGTTTAGAAAACAAGTAAATGTCAAACATTGATTCTCATTGTGAAGTTCTATCTTCACATCTGTAATCAGTATCAACCCAGTCTATCAAGATTCATCCTCATTTGGCTGGGAGTCACTTCTCCAAAGGAAACAGCCAATCCAACCATCCTTTTCCCTCAGTGCCAGTGCATTTGAAGTTCACTGCCAACAGAATGTATGACACAGGAGAAACTGGATTCCTACCACATATTATTTGAGAATGACAGTAGCATCCATCTCAGAACAGCCTGTCAGCACTGGGCTGTGAAAAGCAGTCTGACAGGCAGTCAAGCCACTGAATGACCAAGCCAGAGTACAGCAGTACTTCTGTCATAAAGCCAAGTTCAGCACCCCAAAGAGGAGTGTGAGATTTCCTTGCAAAAGCAGAAGCACAACCCCAATGATTAAGTTTCTGTGCAAGTCTTTCACTACTCAAGTGGCACTGGTCACTATGCAGAAGCATTCAAATTTTAAGGAGGGTTTTCCTTTTATGATATAAAAGTTTTGGCAATCTAAGATCAATTATTCAAGCCTGCCTGGAAAACTGTAATAGGTATTTAAATACTGCAAAGCAAAAAGGCAGTTTTTAAGGAGCTTGGAAGACCATAAGCCATCCACTAAGAAAGCTGAGAGAAGTGAGGGCAGGAAAACAAAATTCACTGACTCCTTGTAGAACACTCAGTCCAAAAATAAAAACCCCAAAACAAGGAAGATGAATTAGTGTTTCAGCCACGGGTGAGCTTCTATGGAAGCTTTGCTTCTGTCTCCATAGTCGTACAACAGTTCTTCACCTGCCTTAATGTCCCTGGAAGCTATGAGGATGAGATGAGGCACACCATCGATGTCGTGGAGCTTGGTCTGACAATTGCCACACTTGCTGTGATTAATGAGCCTTCCCAGACGATTTGTTTCTTTCGTAGCATCGACACTGAAAGAGCAAGAACAGAAGGTGGGATTGCGCCTGGGATAGGGGCACGTTTGTGGACAAAGCCCAAAGTGCAAATCAGACAAAGGAGGAATCCACACAAGTCTTGAAAAATTAAGGAGAAACAGAACATTATCATGTTACATCACAGAACAATCATGATTAAATAGGTAGCCACAATATGGCAAGGCAAGGAAACTGAAACAACTTTGTGAGATTTTTAAGTTAGCACAAAACCCAGAAATCAAAACCTTTGGACTGTTTGAGCTGCCTGTTTCCAGGAATAGCAGAATCTAGATGTGAAACAAATTATAAAGCTTGAATTGAAGTGGGTGTCAGAGACTGGAGAAACAAGGACACCCAGTCAAAGTCAGAGTCTGTCCTTCCTTGCTTTCCAAACCAGCTCCTCGCAACTCAGATAAAGGAGTTAATTTTACAAGAGGATAAATTTAGGCAGAAGACCACTGCAGAACTACAAGCCTCATCCTCATCAAGTAGACAGAACAAGGCTTTGAATCACCTACCATTCCTCATAGCCCAGACATATAGGAGGCTCTCAGACCATGGATCAATGCTCAAAAAGATTTCATAATTCAAAGTTCCCATTAAAAACAAAAAAATTTGCATGAAAACAAGAAAAGAATCAGCAGCATTCATGATGGAAACCTGAGCTTACCAGTAGGTTTTGCTGAGGTACTGGAAATAGTACATGTAGCAGCCTGTGGATGGGTCTTGAGCATACACAGCCTCTCGTTTCTTGGCATCAGTGATCTCGATGAGATCCCCATGATATTCAACCACAAATTCTCCTCGATTAAAATGTTTAGTAGCAATTACTCCTCTCCCTTTGCCATCAATGTAATCAATCTGTTGAGTTGAAAAGAAAATACTTTCTCATTTCCCAGCTGATTTACATCATTGCAGATACGCTGATTACTTGGAAATGATTTGTCATTAAAAAGATGCTGTAAAAGGGAATTTGTGTGTACTGCAGACAAAAGCTGCAGAATGAAGCAGATAGAAGCACAATGTTTGGCACTGTGGAAAAAATGCAGGATGAGTTTGGGACACACTCTCAGTTACTGGGTAGCTGGACACAGTGTCTTCCAATCAAAGAACTTAGGAGTGCATTTCTGTGAAGACCTTAAAGCCCCCTCAGTATTTATAACTGAGACTGCACATACACATCCTTCAGAGATCAACACTGCTCACTCAAAAGGAAGGACTGTGTGTTCCAGCTTTCCTGCAGTTTCATCAGAGAATCACAGGGTCCCAAGACTGAATTCTGGTACTCTGTTTACACAGATTAACATCAGGATACTGTAAAATAAACAGTACATGACTACTTGGGTTGGCACTGCAGTTACCTTCATTCCTTCTTCTTTCCCACTTGTAATCAGCTCATCTATTTTCCTCCTTTCCTCAGTCTGCAGAATAAACAAGAACAAACAAAACCACAATGTTGTTGATAGTTTTTGTAGCTATTATTCTAGAGCTGGAAGGAAATAACCAACCGGTGATACTCATTGTTCCAAACCATCTCATATTTCCAGCAAACTGGATGGAAGAGAGAGAGAGATTTCTGCCCCCCAAAATACATAAAAAGCTAGATCC